TTGGTTCCAAGTCAGCAGTCTCTTCTCTGGAAAAAGTCTTCCATGACCTTTATCTAAGGATATTATTTGTAGGGCTGTATATTTCTAGGGATGGCTTGCAGTGGGCGTAACCAGGAATTCTCTCAAGGAGGATCAATATATAATATTTTTTTTTATATGTTATAATTTAATGTCATCTTCTAAAATCATAACCGCATCGCACAATGAATTACTCAGAAATAATTTGACATGAATCAAATCATAATGCATTGCTCAAAAGAGAACTAAATAGCTAATATTGGGAGATTTACTTGACTAATGGCCGATTCAATAACAAAAAATAGAAGAGAACTCAATAAATGAAAGAATAGAAAGATTGAAGTTAGAAAGGAAAAATGGAGTAATAATGAAAGGCATAATCACAGGGGAAAGATCAATTAACTAGAGTTAGAAAGTTACAAGGGTAATTGATCTAGAAAGTTAGAAGGGTCAGCTATAAAAAATAAAAAAAAACCAAGAAAATCAAATATAACACATAACAAATGCATTTGTTGCATAATTTGGAGGAGGGTCAGCTAACCCTTGTGGGCCTTAGCTCCCTCCGCCATTGGCTTGATGATGATGGTGACCAAGGGGAGCATAATGCAAATTAACCCATACTAATTATCCCTTTAAGATTAACCCTTTGTTTATAGAAATTCTATATGCATCACATTTGTTCTTTACTAAAATACGGATTCTGTGTTAAGATATATAATCAATGGTGTAGCTATAGTATATGTTGTGTTGATACGTTTCACATGTTCTCGGTAATAATATTAATATTTTAATAAAGAACGGACGTCATGTTCTCGGGTCTTTTCCATTTGGGAATAATTTGTTTATTCTTATGTTCAAGATCAAATTCCAAAAGACTTTGTTTGTGGTTTAGTGGGATTAGTTTAATCACAACACAAAACAGACATCCACATTGTTTTCAATGAAAACTATGTGTGAATCGAATCGATGCGTACGTGATCCGTGTGTAGCTCAGATCTAGTAGTTTAATGTTAATACATAACAATTATACTAATTAACAACCCTTGCGTGAAATACACACTAATTATTAGTCTATCTTAATCTTTATCACACAAGCCTAATAATCCCAGTTATCAAACCTTCCGTATTGTGTAAAGCATGCCTACTTTGACGAAATGGTTTAGGGTTTTGTTAAGAGACGGAAATTTGGGACAACAAAATTATTGGGATAAAAAAATTTAGTAGTATTATCCTTCATTTTAACATGTAAGGTTAAATGGCGCATTAGTGCAATTACCAAACATGAACGTTGAGAAAATTGGGGGAAAAAAATAATAGAGTGTGATCTTATCATTTGAACATTAAAATAGTTGTTATCTCACCTCATTAATCTGAACCTGGTAGGTAACAATAGCTTTTTTCTAATCAGCTGCTAATGTGTAATTCCATGAATTTTCGTCTCCTACTATTTGGAATTAGTCTTCTAATTACTTTCACATTGAAGATTGAACATAAGATTTAATGGCTTAGGTACACAATGCCGTGAGTATTAGGTTAACTGATTAATTATTAATTTGCCAACTGTGAAAGCAAAAACACTAATATGAGGGATTGAACTTTAATTAAGAAAAAAAAACCACTTCACATGCAAGAAAAATTCTCTGCAAAAACCACAGTCGCAGAGAAAGGAAAGCTAGCAGTTTGGTGCTGTACCCAAAATTAGAAGACGTATACGTAACGTGGGGTTACAATTTGAATTAATTTGCACCATTTCCTCTCATGTGAATTGACATTTATCGTGAACAATTGAAGCACTTCATACCTAACTATATTACCATCCATTAATTGAGCATGCAATGAATTAGATTTCAAATTTATAGTTGCACCATTATAATCAAGTAGATTGTCCCACAATGTTTTGAAGAACCTAAAGTTGGATTACCCCGATCAAATTGTGAAGAGATCAACCGAAAGCTTAGATTATTAGGTGGATAAATATTGATACTAATTATTATTAGGTCGAGAATGCAAGCTAACTTAGATTAGGGTTGAAATTAACCAACAAAATTTGATCAAATTTTACAATTGTGACCAAGTCTATAGTCCATGCGAGTCACCAATTTGGTTTTGATTTGAACAATTTGGATAAGTACTATACTAGTTTACAGAGATATTAGGGGTCCTTCAATTTCAAATGGGCTACGTTTTATTTTTAATTTTTAATTTCCCAATTTGTACAAGGAGATTTTTTTTTTTTACACAACAACAATAATATTTTATTAATGAGGAAAATGAGTAACAAGTACAAAAAAACAAAAATATGTTCTAGAGGATTAGGCGAGTACTCTACACCAAACGAAGTGTAGTGGTCATTGGTGTACCAAAGTAGCCTACTTTCTCAACCACGAACGAAAAAAGGAACCTTGTCTCCAGGGCATGTCCTGAGATTTTGAGGGCCCTGTGCAAAACTTAAACAAAAGCCCTCACATCATCTAATATGAAAATATTTATGATAAAAGAAATTTGCCATGACTTAATACCATAAGATAATTTTTTTAATAACTAAAATTCATCTTCGATTAGCATGCAATGACAAATATAAATCAAATTCACAAAAATTTTAATGTTTCTATTTGAGAAAAAAGGAAGAGGAAGAAGACATGAACTTTTTTTGTTTTGTTTTGAGTGGGTGAAAACATACACTACAAAAAAAATTTGGTTGATTGGAGAAAGCTTGTATATATTGCTTTCCTCTTCTTTGGTGTGTTTCCTTATTTTTGTTTTTTTAACATGTTTTTCCTTTTTTTTTCTTGTTAACAAAAATAGAAGAAATGTAAATACAACTACTTGAATGACACAAGACTGACTCAAATTTGACTTGCCTACTAAAATCAAGGTGTTGATTTCCAACTCAACCAAATAGTTGCTTGTGTTATTGGGATGCATGCTCAAGTATATATATATATATATAATATACACATAAAAAAATTTCGAGGCTCTTACAAATCGGGGCCCCTATAATGTGGCACCACTTGCACACCCTTAAAGCCGCCCCTGCTTATCTCCGATAGAGTCACAATGACAATTTGGATCAATAGAATAGAGGCTGCTAAAACAAGGATGGGTCTAAAATCTACACAAAAGTAAACTCTAAATAAAATAAAATATGTTTTTAGTCCAAGTAATAGGTAACGTCATTAAACATTCTTTAATTCCATTTTATATTTAAGAACGAGGAATAAATATATGCTAAAGAAGGACCATATCTTTCATGTCACTGAATGTGACATCCACCAATCAAACGGTCAATGAGAAAAGTTAGATTGATAGATAAGATAGTCATGTGACCAATAATATTAAATTGAATTGAATTGAATGGAATGGAATTGGTATTAGGCTATTAGCATACGCATGGATGGACCCTCATAAGGCTAGACATGGGTAAAAGGAAAAATAATAAACAAATCTCATACTTGCCATTCGTATGGATCTTTGACTTTAATAAATTCGTTTGTTTTATTCAATAACTATTTTGTACAACTTTACGTATATTGTATACAACAACGCATATCGCATCGATGTACGTACAATTTGTTACATGTACTTTGTACATACCAAATTATACAAGTAACATCATTCATGCAAATTTGCAAGTCAAAAGCGTTGTTGAAAAAGTTGGTTAAGGTTGGGCTATGACTCTCATGAGGAGGGAAGAAGTTCCTTGCAAAGTGGCAACATGATAAGCTTCTTTGACTCCCAAAAGCCTTGAAAAAAGAAAAATACGATGACTCCTTGGACAAGTCATAAGGTTAGTGGTGGTGGAGGGGGGATTCTTTTATTTCTTATATTCCATTCTATGTCTTTGCTTTTTATTTCACAATATAAAAATAAAAAATTCCTTGTTTCCAGTGGTGGGCTTAAAAGCCCAAATTGAGCCCACTTTCAAGGCACGTGAAAAGTGAAAGAACCCATACCTCAGACAAAAAGCACCTCTCTAAAGTAAAACTAAGCGATTGAAATGAAAGCATAGTTGAATTATTAAAAGTCAATAGTGTCATTACTTTTTTTTTAGAGTAATTCTTGCATGTTCCAGGTACACTATGTGGCTGGTGTACCATCTAATACAGATGTAACATATGAAAATATTATCTAGTATTATCCTATGTGTATTGGATGGTATACCAATGATGTGGTGTACCCATTCAAAAATTTCTCTTTTTTAGCCCTAACTTTGAGAAGTTGGTTTTGGGCTAATGTTTAAAACTTTGATATTTGGTGACCAAAAAAGAGTGGGCTGCTGGACTTGATCAAATCGGTTTTTAATTGAATTCGTTGATTCTGCGGTTTTTATGCCAACCCCTATTTCAAAGTGCCTCACCCAATTTTTATTTAATTTTTGTTTTAAGCATTATAAATTAAACTGGATTAACAAACAAGAGAACAGTTACCTTTTTTTTATTATTAACGAATCTCTGTCCGGTTTACAATTTTATTTCAATAGCTAGCCATGTCATGTCAAGTCATGTGTGGCTGAAATTAGAGTTGATGGGTCATTGCCAGGGTAGGAATATGTGTATGATATTGGTGCTGGTGTTTTACTGCTACAGAGTATATATTATTTATACAGGTGGAGAGGAATAGGTAAAAATGGTATGGAATTTAATACATACAAAAGTTAATGCATCTTTTCTTTTGGTAAGTGAGCAAAAAATGCATCTTCCTAGATTAGGTTGTAAAGGAGGGTTGCACAGTGTGCACGTCCTCTTACACCCGAGTTTGATCCTCCTTACATTGCCTAGATTAGTTTAAAATCTCGCATTGTAAAGAAGGGTCTCACTTGGGCTGAGGTCTAGTTGGGTTTGGGTCTAACCGAACTGGCCCAACCCGACTCATTTTTGCAACCTATCCGACTGAGTAAACGACTATCCATGTCAGCACAACGGAAGAAACTGAATTCGACCCAAGTCAAGCCTACACTTTACGTGGCACTTACTAAAACCATCATGATTAGAGGAGCTTATCGTGGTCTCCGTTGCACACTATCATTTTCTCCCAAGTCTCCAACGAACGACCCGCTTCTCTCTCTCTCTGAGACTGAGCGTTACCACGCAAACCGTACTCTCTCCGTCCCAGCCCGGTTCCAATTTTCGCGCTCTTCGTATTCTCTCTCTATGAACCCTAAGCTTCAATCCTGAATCCAAAATCACGCGCATAGATTCAGTTTTTAGAGTTTCTGAATGGATCTCTCCGATGCCCCCTCGTCAAATTCCATGGACGCCTCCATCTCCGGTGAGTAACTTTTTACGCAGCTTCTTCAATTGATTTCAAATTTTCTCTATAATTATACAATCGCATTTCGCGGGCTTGTGTATTTGAATTGTTGCAAGCAAAAGTAATTTTTAATAAAACAAATCTGTTTTTCATATTTTGTTTTTACTCAGCTGAGCTAAACGTGAAGGGCCGAATCAAATGGAAACAAAAGGTTTCAAAATTTTGGCCTTTTGTGTTTCAAATAAGAATAAAAATCGAACCGTTATTGGGTAGGCATATGGAATGGAAGAATTTGTGTAACTGACGTTGAATCTGCCGTATATAATTGTTTAAAAAAATTCCAATATAGGAAATTAGTTGCATTTTTGTTCTTTTTGCAGATTAGATATCTTAATGTTCCATGTAAGTTGTACTTAGCAGAGCGTATGTTCTAATCTTTTAATTGCTCAGGACTGCGTGTGAAGCAGCACCGGGAACTAGAAAGCTTAACACTTACAGCGCAGCCATTAAAGACATTAAAGTATTTCATGTTGGGTTTTGGCCAATGCCTTCGACAATTTATGGCAAAAGGTGGTTGGCTTGTGCTTCTATTTATTTTAGCAGGAGGTATAGGAATGCTTACTATAACTATTGGTGGACCTCAAGAAGAGGTATTTTTATGCCCATTATTTATTTAATTGAATTGCATTTTTATGCCCACTTTTGGACTTTCCTTTATTGATTTTATAAATTAATCATACTGCAGCATATTCAGGAGCTTGTTCGTTATCTCCAATTCGGACTCTGGTGGCTGGCTCTTGGTGTAGCATCATCAATTGGCCTTGGTAAGCAATAGCATGAAATTTTGATTTTCTGGTGGATAGAGTTGACCTGTTTTCGACAACACTCGGAATGATTTTATTATATTGTTCTTCTATGCAGGATCTGGTTTGCACACTTTTGTGCTATATTTAGGGCCTCATATAGCTCTGTTTACTATGAAGGCAGTGCAGTGTGGCAGAGTTGACATAAAAAGTGCCCCATATGACACCATTCAATTGAAAAGTAGTCCTTCATGGCTGGACAGAGACTGCTCTGAATTTGGGGACCCCATATTTTTATCGCAGCACGGTTCAAGGGTTCCACTTAGCACCATATTGCCTCAGGTTCAGTTAGAGGCTATTCTATGGGGAATCGGAACTGCACTGGGAGAGCTTCCTCCTTATTTCATATCAAGAGCTGGTAACTACAAAACAAGAAACTATCTTCTTGTACTCACTATCTCGATACTCTGCAATCTTCATAGTAAACAATTTCTAGGCAGGAACAGCCTGTTAGAAAAACTTCAGCTAGTCTAACTTATCCATGCACTTGTGTTTGTATGTGCTCGCATGTTCATCTTTTACTTATTTCATGGCCCTTTGTAAGTCGGGAGTATATCTGGATTCTTTAACCTGACTACATAGTGTAAGGGTGAGTGAGTTGCCTATGTTGAACAACTAATTTCTCCCTGAACGAATTTCTGAATCTCTTCTAATCTATGATTATGTGCAGCTCGTATATCTGGCGAAAAATTGGAAGTCATGAAAGACTTGGATTCTTCTTCAACTGAAGATAGTGGAATTGTAGCTAATAGTCTGAACCGGATCAAATTATGGCTTCTTTCTCATACACAATATCTGAACTTTTTAACTATATTAGTTCTTGCTTCGGTAATTTTTCTTCCTCTCTTCTAGCAAAACTTTTCTAATATGTCATTGCCCGAAATGAGGGTTTGGAGATGTATTTTGGATACCCCTTTTCCCTAAGGCTAATTGTACTCCCTCTCAGCACGTTCTGTACTTAGTTCCCTTTTGGGACCTCCTGATGTGTTTATCCGAAATAATTTTCAGGTGCCCAACCCTCTATTTGACCTTGCCGGTATAATGTGTGGACAATTTGGCATTCCATTTTGGACGTTCTTCCTATCAACATTGATTGGAAAGGCATTTATCAAGACTCACATACAGGTTTGTTGCCTTGTAAGATATTTCAACATTTTGAAGCTTCATACTGTCTGCTCATTTCACAAACGGTTTATGTTGCCCCGTAATTGCAGACACTTTTCATCATCTCAGTTTGCAACAATCAACTTCTGGACTTGGTAGAAAATAAATTGATTTGGGCGTTCAGCTTTGTCCCTGGATTTGGTTTGGTTGTGCCCGACCTCGTCGCCAAATTACATACTGTGAAAGACAAGTATATGCATGCCTCTCCTCCAGTGCCCTCAAACAGCAAGGTAGTGTTTTCTGTGTTATGGCTTGAGTATCTATATGTTATGTATAAGTTAATATTACAAGTGTTTGAGCCTATTTGGAGTGTTTCATATAAGATATACTTTTCTCCATTTTCTGCTTTCAGGAGAAAAAGTGGGACTTATCATTTAGTTCGATTTGGAACACTGTTGTGTGGCTCATGCTCATGAACTTTTTCATCAAGATTGTCACAGCAACTGCGCAAAGCGTTCTCAAGGAAGAACATGAAAAGGAGTTGACTGCATTGTCGAACAAGCCGCATACATCAGAACAAAAAAATAATGGGTGTTGCAGCCAAGCATCCGATTGAATTTTCCGAAGGTCATTCGGATTTGATTAATTTTCTTTTCTAATATTCAAAGTTTTGGAATTTAGTGGCAGAAATTTTTTTGTATCTGCCAGCCATGATTGTTTCGCCCAAAGCTTGAACCTACTTATCTCTGTTTCAGTTTGTACATAAAACAACCATGCCATGAAGCATAAGTTAACCCGTAGAAGTATCTACATGTCTTGTAGGGGATCCTATTTGTACCATTATATCACCCTCCTGGGAAATTCAGTGGAATAAAATTCATCTAGATATCAGTGTATTTTAGACTAGTACATGACTGGGGAATGATGTTCCTGTGCTCCAGCTGCATGCAAAGAGAATTTTGGCCATTTCTTGAACTTTCAATGTAGAAATTCAACGTTCAAGTAAAAACTAATTAAGATTCTCCATTCAAATTCAGATAGCATGTAACGCAATATTAACACTTTTGACACTGGGGACTTAACACTAAAACAATTACAAAGCACAAGTAGGTAGGTGGTAGGCTTTATTTTACAATTGCAAATCATAAGACTCCATACACATTTTGGTCCATTGGTTGATGATGAAATGAGCATCATAAACTGGAAAACAATATAAATCTAAACACTTTCTTTTATAGATATCATCAAATCTCCCAAAACCAGTGGCTAGTGAGGCTTGCAATGCTTCAAGACTAGGGTTTGCCTTGGAGACCCTCCTTGGGTATTTAATTTTCATGGTTTCCAAAGTAGAAATTACTGTATCAAGCAAAGCCCAGGTGGGTTTCCCATCTGAGGTCCTGGGAGAACTGAGAGATTGCAGCTCTTGGATCACCATCAGCAATGGTCAAGTAGTAGTGAGCAGTGGCATCATCAACTTGCATGCTTCTCTTCAGTGACTCAATCACCCTCTTCTTACTCTGCAAATCAGTTGCAGAGCAAGAAGACGTGCTTGAGCTGCCATTGCTGGTCGTTTTCTGGAGCTCAGGGCCGCCTTCCAAATACAGCACAGCTACTTCTCTCTTAGCACAAGTATCCACTTCAACATAGCAAGTAGCCTGCAAAAGCATCTCCGGATTGCTTATCGGGATCAGCAATCTCTCACGAGAGTATATTCCGTGCTCGCTCATCGTGTTGTTTAAACGCTTTATGTCCATCACCTGATCACCATTCACCACAAAACATTTTAATTAAAATCTTGACTTTTTTATTTTCTCGGCGACCAAACACATATACCTGAACAGAATACTTGACGGCGAGACTGGCGATGCTGTCGCCACGGACAATCCGGTGCGAGATGGCGAATTTTCCGAGAGAATTGTCTCTCCAGAAGTTTCCAGACGCTGGCTTTCCGATGATATGCTTCAGATTCCAAGGGGCTTTGAAGGCTCTGGTGACGATCTCCTGATCGGAGGCAACCGAGTTCCAGACTCGGCAGACGCAGCTGGAGCGAGCAAGGTCGGGAATCGGGAGCTTCTCGAAGATGAGGCGGAGGGTGTCGCAGCAAGTCAAGGCCGAGAAGTGAGAGTTCATCGGAGATATGGTGGAGTCGGAGAAGTCTAGGATTTCAGTGGTGGTGGTGGGGTTGAGAGGGTTGAGGATGTCGTCGTCGTTTTCTTCGTCCCCGCAGCAACCCATTGTCGTTTAAATACTGAGAGTAGATGCTGGGGTTCTTTTGTAGCTAACGAACTAACAATCAACGACGTGCACTAAAATTTCAGACAAGTTTTGAGTTGTTGGACTGTTGGGTTTAGCCATTTCCCTTTGTTGGGCCACGTAGACAGTGTGGCCCGCATTTTAGGGCCCACAACATAGAAGCCCTTCTTGTACTAAAATACAAAAGAAAATGTGAAAATATTTTTGGGTGGTTCTTTATTTTAAATAAAGATCCCAACCATTAATTTTCCAATCCTATTTATATGGACTAGCCTCTTTGCACGCACTTCCGTGCCTGCAAGAGGCTTTTTTTTGAGATTTTCTATTTAAACCCCGCACTTCTCTTTGTTCACCCCAATACTTAAATCATTAAGCTGTAAGTTTTATTATTGTGTAAAAAGACAAAAAAGGTCATCCAACTTAATAATTAACTCTAGTATATCCATACACACACCCCAACTTCTTGTTTACAAACTCACTCTCTCTCTCTCTCTCTCTCAACAATACCTAAGGGTTTGGGGTTCCATATGTTTGTGTTTTTTTTTCTGCTGGGAACAAAGAAAATTGTGGGGTTTAAATAGAAAATCTCTTTTATTTCTCATTTTTTTCAGTTTGGAGTGTATTTAAGGGTAGTTTGGGAAGACACTGGGGTTTTCTTAGAAATTATGAAAATTTCAATTAAAAAATGGGGTGAACTTAGAACATGGGGTGAACTAAGAGAAGTGTGGGGTTTAAATAGAAAATCTTTTTTTTTTTTAAAGTTTAAATTTATTTTAGAATTAAAAAAGATAATGGGTAGTTATGTTCCATAAAAATAGGATTCATTATCTGATTTTTCTTTTAATTTTAATTTTTTAAAATATGAAAACGTGTGAATTTACCATATTATCCTCATTTAATTAATAATTTCAATTCTTAATGTTTGCATTAACCAAGGGCATTTTCTGGTATTTTGAATGTGTCACCATTCTCTGTCTTTTGCTTTATATATACTAGCCTCTCCGCACGCGCTTCCGCGCTTGCAAGAGGCTTTTTTTTAAAATATTTTATTTTATGTTAGAATTAAAAAAGATAATGGGTAGTTGTGTTCCATAAAAATAGGATTCATTATTTGATTTTTCTTTTAATTGTTTTTTAAATATGAAAAGTGTGAATTTACCATATTATCCTCATTTAATTAATAATTTCAATTCTTAATGTTTGCATTAACCAAGGGCATTTTCTGGTATTTTGAATGTTTCACCATTCTCTGCCTTTTGCTTTATATATATATAGAAGATTATATTGCATGAATAAAAAACTTGCAAAGAAAAAGAAATATATGTTGTGATATAAATTAAACATATCAACCAGCTTCTTTTCTTAAATTTAGAATACAAAATACAATACATCACAGCTTCAAAGATTCAGCAGAACAAACGTCTTCATCGAGGCATCTTGTACAGTAAATAAGAATTTCCGAGCATCCATGGCAGAGAAAAAGGGGACCTAAAATCTAATTTCTAAATCAACTGCTGGCTTGGGAAAAAATATTTAGAACAACATAAAACTCATCAACTTCACCATCCATGACTGTGGCCGAGACCGTATGCATCAGAATAACCAGTTGCATGACCATGATGGTGGTCATGCCCATCATCATGACCATGATGCTCACCGCTTTTTGCTTCATCAAACATCTTCTGAATATGCTCCGGGATGGGCTCTTCCTCAACCTTTCTGACAGATGCAGGCAGCGAGGACACAAAATAAGCAATATTTTCAGCTACCTCATCAGCTGCGTCCTCCTATATCACCCGATGAAATAAATCAGCTTATTTGAATTTCCACACACCATGAGTAAGAAGACCTTGAAACAGAGTAATTTCTTGAACTACTTTGCCATGATGTTCAACGAAATATTTAGTTCATCCATGAAATGGAAAGTAAAATCAAACTCTTTACTTTAGCATATAAGTAGGAAAAAACATTAGTATTTTGATTGCACTAATAGTATCATACATGAGGGCAATGAATAAAAGAGAACAAATAGAGAAAAGCAAGCATAAGATTATACCAACAGAAGGCCTTGTTGCTTCAAATTCTATAAAGAACTCAACACACACACAATAAAAGAAACTATCTGCAACTGTCTTCCAATTCGAATACCTTTTCGCCCTAGCCATTCAGTAGTAATTTTTAACATCAGATTCCAACAAAGAGCAGTGTTGTTTCAGTATTCATCAACATAAACCACAAACCAACCACCAGCTTCTTGACTTAGACTACAAAATTGGTAACATAGGCATAAATCCTTCCACAGACCACTTAACATATTCTACATTTTCAAGCAGGAACTAACTGGTTTTATTGATTTTAATTTGATTTTAATCAAGGCTGGCCGTCCAAAGAGTAAGCCTCCTAAACCCAACAGTTGTTGCTCTATATGGAAACTTACATAGAGACCACATGTAGATGCTATTCTCTGAATATACCATTACATCCTATCTATTACAGTCCTAAATATCTATTTGACAAGCAATACAAAGTCGCATTCAGAACCTAACGGAGACAAATTTCATATCTTTCTACCATTTAGAATTCGAAACAGCATTATCCTATGGAAACTGAGACCGAACAATTGTATCCCAAATATTGAGATTTGTAGTCTTACCACATACACGAAAAACAAGCAGTAGCTACTGAATATATCAAATCCTCACCTGAGGCCACCGTCCACCAGAATGGGTGACAAAAGTTGCCTGTGGAAGTGCATTTGCAACTCGGTTTCCCTCTTCACTCCATTCCTTGGACCAACTGCTAGACCAAAGCACTTGCATCGGCACACCTATCAGTCCATCCGAGCCACCCCACTCTGCTATATCAAAGCTATGATTTAACTTCTTCCCCATTCCAACAATTGCTTTTGTCCCATCCCTACCCTTCAAAAGAAGTCTATGCGCATCCACTTCCAAAACATCAATCCCCCTTGAGCAACACAGCTTAATCAACCATGTATAAGCATGTGAAAACCTCAACACAACCTCCCTAACCACTGGCACTCCCAAAACCCACAAAGGCAAAGCACCCGTCGATCTGGATGAGGTATCAATAAGCGTCACACTCCTCACGGCTTCCGAATTCTCCAAAACCCAATTTGCAATCATCCCCAAAGCTGAATCATGCAAAACCAAATGCACAGGAGCCAAACCTACGGTCTCAATCACTTGTCCCAACACCTTACCAACCTCATCAGGACCCATTTCAATTGGCTTTACAACCTTTTGTTTTGGCAACCGAGATTCTATTTCTTCATAGGGAATCTGGCCAGTTTCAATTATCTCATCAAATGCCCAAAACAAACCCTTCTCTTGAATTTCACTATAGACATACCAAAACCTCCCTAAAAACCCAGTTGGTCCCTCTCCAACCTCCACCACCGATTTATCCGAAAACCCATTTCCAGGTAAATCAAACGCAACCGCACGAACCCCTTTAGAGCCTAAGGATTCAATAACTTTGCGAAAAGAGTAGGAGCTAAGACCCAGCCCATGAACAATAACAACATTTTCTGCTGTTATAGGACCTTGCTCAGTAGAAAAAACTTCAACGGGGTTCTGGTTTGAGTGAGTCTGAACCTTTATAGTGCGGCCCTTGGAGTAGTGTTGGCGAAGAGACGTGGGCAAGCTCAAAAACCAAGACTTTGGGTCTTGTGGGGACAGAGAGGAGAGAGAAATGAAGAAGAAGGTCACAAGAGAGACTGTAAGAGTGAAGTAGAACCAGAAAGCGAATGGATTTTGACCATTTTGTGGTGCAACTGGTGTTTCTGTTGGTGAAGAAGTGGGTTTTGATTCTGAAGGTTGGATTGGTTTGATCTCTGATGACCGTTTCGGCTCTTGTCGTTGTTGGTCTTCCTCTTCCTCTGTGATGATCACCATTGAAGAAAGCTTGAAGCTTTTAAAATGGGGATTTTTGAGCTTGAACAGGAACAGGAACAGGAAGTGGAACTGGAATTGGGTTGGTTTGAACTTTGATCTACGGAGTAGAACTGAAAAGTAAAGTGAGAGTGAGAGAGGGTGTGTGTAAAGTGGGGAGAAAAAGCTCTGAGCTTTTCCTATTAAAGATTTCTTTATTATTTTATGGCTGTAGAATGGTGCGACCTTTTGTGTCGTTTCTCGTTTGAGTTTGGGTAAGAAGGAAACGACATGTCGCTAGTGATCCATTTGCGAAATAGTTTGCAGCTAGGACCAAATTGGGAACCAATCCTTGAAAGCAGGAGAGGGTCCCTAATTCCCAAAATGCAAAATCATTCACTTCTATCTTTTTTTTTTGATGAAATTCACTTCTATCTTTATTCTTTCGTTCAACATACCTTAAATTTAGTGACTTTTCTAATCCAATTCAATTATAGACACCAAATGAGCTTTAAGTAAAAATTATTTAATGACGGTTTGTAATGAGAAATGCTAGCAACCTTCTCTATAATATTCTCCTTTGGACTTTTTCCCTTTTCTTCATTACATGTGTCACTTTTCTTACACTAAAAATAATGTCATTAATGCATCCCACAAGCTAATTTTTGTTTTCCAAGCCTTATCCTTATTAAATGTATTAAATTTTTTTTTTACCAACTTTGTTACCACCTTATTAAAAAAATTAAATAAGAAAAGCAGCCTTTTTATTTTAAAAAGTTTTTTTTTTTTCAAAGAGAATGGTTTTTTTTTCCACAACAAAAATATGTCACTTCCACGATAACAAATTTATAGTCATTTGACAAAAAGATATGTTGTAGTTATTATTTTTCAGGTATTTAAATGTTAAGATAAGCACCCAAAAAAAAAAAGCATAATAGTAACAGATAAATATCAATTATACCAATATCCATTGAAAATAAAAAATAAAATTTTAAAATAGAAAGTGATATAATATTTTATTAGCAACAACATATTCATAGTAATTTTCACAATAGTTAATTAAAAAACATTTGTTTACAAAACTAGTTGTTATATATAAAAACAAAACACTAACCTTTAGAGTAAAAAGGTGGTAAGAAAAGGTGACATTTTTTTTCTTCTCTAAACTAGCCGTTTTTTTTTTTAAAATTGATTTTTTAACAAGGTGGTAAGAAAGTTTTTAAAAAAACAACCCTATAAAAAAGTTAATATATTTAATAAGGGTAAATTTGGAAAACAAAACTTAGCTTGTGTGATGCATTGACATTGTTTGATGTGTAAAAAAAGTTACACATGTTAAGAAGAGAAGGGAGAATGTCCAAATGAGAAGGTTAGAGAGAAGGTTGTTAGATGTTGTCAATGCACAATATTATGTGGTTATGGGGTCAGCTTTTTAAGACTTATCATATGATCTTGCTCGAGAAGTACAAACGAAGCCATGAATCAACACAATAAATTCGAGTATAAATATGAGCAAAACATTGGAGATTAACGCAATAAACACACAATCGGAGTTTTACCTATAAAAACATAAATTTTGAGGTTAAGAAGAATAATATGTTTGATACGTAGTGGACTAGACGAGGAGGAGGTGGGTGGGGTATGAGTTCTGAGCATGTACGTAGGTGTTTCTCTTCTTTATATACCTTGGGGCAGAGCAGAGGAACAAGTCGACTCTATTTGCTTAATACTATGAAAATTATTAATTAATAAATTATTGTTTCTTCCCATGAATTTGTCAATATTTATGAAAAACTATTACAAAAATCAATGGAAATCAGGAATCAATTTAATAATCCTCAAACCTAATTCACAGAATATGGAATTTAGTCCAAAAGCAATTGGTCATGGCTTCTTAACTTTGAAATTGTGGCTTGCACTGGTGCAATGAAGTTTATTGCAGCTTCTATGTGACTTGCCAAATGTCCAGTAGCACTTTAGGTGAAGTAATACAAAGTCCATGAAAATAGAAAGAAAAACACCATTTTCAGAATATATATATATGACAGCTATGTGTTTTGGCTACGGTTTTTGACCTCTATCACCGGTTTGTGTACTTTTAGTGACGAAATAAGTGCCTGTTTCTTTAGCAGCGCATAAAACCGCCGCTAACCGTTGCTAAAAGTCAATGTAACGACAGACAGAAATAGCGCCACTAAAAGTAGATAGATTATTCAAATCATCTCTTCCCTGTTCCATGTCCATGACTTTTACATTTAATAGAAAAGAAAAAGCAAAACCTCGTTTTTTTATTTATACATATATACCCAGATTACATGAAAAATCTCGTCCAAATGATTTAATTGGATATGTAAAAATTCCCCATGCTGTTCAACAAACAAGATCGAAATGGAAAGAAATTTAAAATTCTCCTCTCGCATGTTATCATTGCTCAATCCTTCTAGGTAAGCGCTAAAGCTAGATTATCCTGATGAATCCTGGTATTGCTACATCCCTACGAATATGTACTGCTTCCCATACTCTATCCGATCTTTCAAGCCTTCATAGAACATAACCTGCATAGTGCAAGATGAAATCATAACTTTGAAACAAAACTATTATACTAGAAATAAGAACGAGAGCTTGTTCAGGAAAGAGCAACAGAATAATGACAACAAGATCATTTAGAGGCCAAAAGCCGAACTGCCTATGATTCACCAATGACCAAAACACAGTAGGTCTGAATTTTTCCTTTTGGGACGAAACAAGGCAATAAACAAGTGTGGGGGAGTGCATGTCAAGGAGTGGCAAACCTATTAGAATAAATTTTGGCTATTAGGAGTTGCAGTCGTATTTTCCTATTGTTACCAAGCAATTGTGGTAAAGGCCAAAAGAAAAAGGATGACACATACAAACTATCACTATTCAACATACCATTAGACCAGGAAATGGCACATCCCTTTCAAGTGTGGACCAGTATATGCCAAATGAGAGAAAACTTAAAACCTGCAATTGCGCAAGAACATTAAGGTCTAGTTCATATGTTCGCAAATGCATGCCTGATATGTGTTGTTCTGTCAGTGTTGTGTGCAGGTGCATGCATTGATGGGGGTGGGCAGGCAATGACCTCCAGTATTTTACAGAGAACTATTGCCCTCATGGTGAAAGTGGATTGCGAGTAAGCTACTTTTCTTTTAATATTTCTTATAACAATCGCAGATGTTATAAATGAAAGAAAGTTAGGAGGAGGATGAATGAGACGTCCATCTAACATTCTCAATCCCAAACAAAGATTACAACCAAATCAAACTAACTAGTTTGGATGACACACACCAATTGAGTTAAGAGGCCAACAGTCTTCAAGACTCTTAATTGCCTGATCCCCATCATGATGAAAAACAGAGAGAAGGGGGAAAGAAGAGGAGGGACCATACATTGGATACCAAACACTAATAAAATGCCAGATTGAGTACTCGAAATTTACTTTCTTACATATAATTAATATCAAGCTAAATGCCTTCCAAAAAATTGAGCTTTACCCATTAGCCATGAATGTTAGATCCATAACATCTCTACTCTATGATCATACCCCTGACTTTCACAAAGATTAGCTTGGCTCTGAATGCATGTATTTACAGAGACAACTGGATGAGTCATTCCTTCCCCAAATGCCCCAGAAATAGTTCCCCGCAGAAGCTCCCTTCAAACTACATTGACAGATTAAAGAATTACTTACAACCTTCCCACAAGTCCATTCCATACATAGTTCACAATTCTACAATGCAAAACTTTACAAACGCATAATGTTATACATGCACTAAATACCAAAACCCTGATTTCTTTTATTTCCCAACAAAATTTTCTAATAAAGAAACAAAATGTTTTCCTTCAATTCCTATTGAAAACAAAATAAAAACAACAATTGGGTTTTCAACTGCTTCAAATTCCAAATATGTATAGCTAAACCTATCTGAAATACTCAATGGTTGCATTTGGCGAGAAGATTAGAGTTTTATTCTTTCATTTCTACTGCTTGATGTTCTCGCTATCCAAATAAAATAATAGAAGTGAGAAATTGGCGAATTGGAAGCTTACCAGAGAAGGGGTTTGAGTTGTATCGCCTAAAGCATGAATTTTGATCGAACTCGAGCTCTGTATCGCCATTGAAATAGCTTTTCTCTCTCTGTCTCACTGGTTAGGGATGAGGCGGATTTTGGCTTAACACGATTTTATTATAAAGGTTATCTTTTTTGTAAGTTAATTAAAAGGTCTTAATTTTAGTCCAGTTTAATATTTATAGCAAGTAATCGTAACGTAAAACGACGTCGTTACCATGAGCACTGAAAAGAAAGATCCTTTTTTTTGGGTTAATTTTTGGTCAATCTTCGTTCTCAACGGCAAAAATCATATCTTCTTCCCTCTCTGTGTGTTAGTTAACTGATACAAAAGCTTCATCTGTGATCTCTCTCTCTCTCCCCCCCCTACCCCGAGTTTTGTTACGATGCACTCACTGTCGTCACAAGTAGCGCGCCCTCTCTGCTCTCCCTCCTCGCACTCTCGCTACTTCCGCTTCCTCTCTCTCTCGCTCCCCATTTTCCACAGCTCCAAATCCCACCCCAAAATTTTCACTATTTCCCCGAAAGCCCCGCTCTTGACAGTCCGAAATTGCACCTCAATCTCTGCCAAGCCCTCTTCGGAGCTCCGAAACAAGCGTTCCAATTCCGACTCCGACGAGAAGCTCCGTGCCCTCCGCGAGCTCTTCTCGAAGCCCAGTGTTGGCATCGACGCCTATATCATTCCCTCTCAGGATGCTCACCAGGTTAAATTTCCAGTTTTTTGAAATGTTGTATTGTTCTTTGCGTTTCGTTTGAGGTTTTAGTGGTCTGTGAGGGTTTGCTGGCTGTAGGATTTAATTGTGTTTTGTTGGTTTGAACTATTCTACTGAGGATTATGAGCATTTATTCGAATTTTGCTTCTTTATTATTTTTTTTCGGCTGAGATTGTGTGTGGGTTGTAGAAAACAACTGGGTTTTGCTTATTTTGAGAGTTGTCGGTTTTTGTCTATCCTTTATTTTCTTTCCTTTGTGAAAATTTGATCATTTCCACATGTTTATGATTCAGCATGGTGATGGTGTGTCGGTTGTAAAATACACTTGAATTTGTCTAGTTTGAGATATTGTCTTGAAAGTAACGAGCTTTGCTTTTAGTTTTATTTATTTATAATCATAATTTTAGTTTGTGGTATGCGATAGTGCGCTGAACAATTCATCTGGGTTTTACTGTTTGAAGCATTTAGATTGTAAAACTAAGAGTTCGTTGAAGTTTTTTGTTTTGTTTATTAGTTTCGAAGTTATGAGTAAATGGGAAGAAAATGCTGAAATTCTTTTCATTATTAGGTTTATCTAAACAGCTTTGACATTATTCCTTTTTCGTTTCACTTCTTTATGTATCACAAGGACCAAACAGTCTTAGCTATTAGGTTCTATGTTTATTTTGCATATAGCTCAGGTGTTGTAGCATTTCTGCATTGGGTTCTAGTATTCCATGTTGCCTGTAGTAAATTGTAAGTGCACTTTTCATTTTGGCTTCAGAGTGAGTTCATTGCTGAATGTTATATGAGGAGGGCATATATATCTGGGTTCACTGGGAGTGCTGGCACTGCAGTCGTCACAAAGGATAAAGCAGCTCTTTGGACTGATGGGCGCTATTTTCTTCAGGTATGTAAAGATACAAAATCACTTTCACTTTTGCTTTTAGATCGTCTCTTGTGTGTTATTTCTTTACTACATGCACATCATGGTCTCTTTTCTTTTGAGTTTTATATTTTGTATTGCTATCATTTTGGAAGAATGGTTTCTGATTTTGTATCATCTGGCTTGAGGTGCAGCTCCTGATAATGTTTACTCTTTCCTATTGTTAGGCTGAAAAGCAGCTAAGCTCTAGTTGGATTCTCATGAGGGCTGGTAGTCTTGGAGTTCCTACAACTATTGAATGGTTGAATGATGTTTTGGCTCCTGGTGGGAGAGTTGGCATTGATCCTGTGAGCAATTCTTAGCCTCTTAAAATGGGCGCTTCACATTTCTTTCTAATAAGTTTCTAAGTCAAATAGCACTTGACTTCTTGAATTGCTTTCTTGTGAAATGTGGATTTTAACCAGCTCTCAGAAAATAAAGTTTCAACCATTTCAAGTAATTGATCAAGTTTCATCTTTCCTTTTTTAACCAATACACTTTTTGGTAATTTGATAATTGTACTTATTAAGCTTGATCATGTTTTCGTTGCGCTCCCCCTCATTAAAATTTGTGTCTTTAATTTTTAATCATTCTTTGTTCTTGCTTTGTTTGTGATGCCACCTCCTTTGTATTGTGAAGGGAGCAGTTTTTGTTTTCTTCCGATGCTGCGGAGGAGTTAAAGCAGGGCATTGCTAAGAAGAATCACGAGTTAGTGTTCCTGTATGATAAAAATCTTGTGGACGAAGTATGGAACAAATCAAGACCAAAGCCTCCAAACAAACCTATCAGAGTACATGACCTAAAGTATGCTGGTGTAGATGTCGCATCCAAGTTGTTGTCTCTGAGGTCTGAACTTGCTGATTCGGGTTCGTCTGCAATAGTTATATCTATGCTTGATGAAATTGCCTGGCTGTTGAACTTGGTAATACCTCTGAACCTATCTGTGGTTTTTTTTTTTTTTTTTTTGGTGGCAAAGATGCATGTTAACCCCAGTTATCAGCTATTCTCAGAATTCTTGATTTTTTAACCAAATATAAAATTGTAATTCAAAATTATTCATAAATGTTCATGCTTTTGTGTTCCATTTATTAATCCAAATGATGTGCTAATTTTTTTTTTTGCAGAGAGGCAGTGATGTTCCACATTCACCTGTTATGTATGCATATTTGATTGTGGAGACTGATAAAGCGAAGTTATTTATAGATACTTCTAAAGTGAGCGCAGAGGTGATGGATCACTTGAAGAATGCAGGAATTGAATTGAGGCCATATGATTCCATTCTTTCTGAAGTAGAAGGGTAAGTTTATGAGCTAAAACCTTTTTTTTTTTATAGGGAATATTTTTCACAATGTTGTGATTTTCTGCAAATGATTTCATGAACAACTTTAATAGGGGCCCTAACAAAGTTGTCAGGTAATGACACAGATATGAGGTCCCTTGGCTGTAATGGTCAGGCAAATTATGATGGCTTTCTCATTTTCATTATTTTACTGTCTTAGATGTTCATATTTTTAATACAGAGGTAAACTCATTTTGTTACACCAAACTATTAAAACCTTTTTTTCATTTTCAGCCTGGCAGCACAAGGGGCTAACGTTTGGTTGGATATATCTTCTGTTAATGCTGCTGTTGTCAAAACCTTTAACTCTGCTTGTGAAAGATATTATCAGAGCCTTGAAAGTAAACCAAAACGTAAGACTAAGATGTATGACGACTCAAATGGTTGGTCTGGAGGACCCACTGGAATTTACAGAGTGTCCCCTATTTCTTTAGCAAAGGCAGTGAAAAATGATTCTGAGTTAGAAGGCATGCGGAGTTGTCATTTAAGGTAATTATTTCCACCCTCCAACTTGATTAGATGCATAATCATATGTGCGCGCTCTCCATATCAGTGTTTGGTTGACTTCTTTGTTGATAATACTGAAGCTTAGTTGTTGGCATCATCAGACAACTGATCAGTAGAATGCCTTAAAAATTTAAGCTCTCATTTGGGTTATGTATATGAATTTTGTGTAAGAAAATACCTCCTAAGTTATAGCTAAACATGTATAAATTTGGTGGATTAGATATTATATTATCTAGTTACGTGTCCATGATTTTTTCCTGTGCTGTTGAGCCTGAGGGTGTAGATGGGGTCAAATTTGACAGTCATTGGAGTTTTTAGGTGAGAACAATATTTTTAATCACTCTATGAAGAATATTTTGAAAGGGATTGGTAGCAAGATAGTCTCCATATATGCATGTGGCTTTTCTTTCCCGATAAACCATATTGGAAATTCTGTTATAGGGAGAAATTCTATTTATACTTTCATTACAAAGACATATGTGGTTTAAAAGTTAAGGATATGGGTCAAGGTGATAATGTCTGTGCAGGGATGCTGCTGCTCTAGTGCAGTTTTGGGTTTGGATGGAAGAGCAAATTAAAAAGAATGTGAAATTAACTGAGGTAGAGGTTGCAGACAAACTTCTTGAATTTCGTTCGGCGCAGCCTGGTTTCCTAGATACAAGCTTTGACACCATAAGTGGTACATGTCAAACCTTTATTGTTTTTTACCTTTTTTTACAGTTCTTTGGGATTTTTACTTTTATTACCGTAGATAAGCATGTTCTTATCCCTAAGTTAAAGCTTATTACATGGATGTTTTCTTTTTGCTTCTTCTCTTTATTGTCCTTTTCTTATTTTTTGAGTCAATAGTTCCTTTGTCGGTTTCGTAAACTTCTCTACTCACAATTTGAATGCTTTTCCAGGTTCTGGTGCAAACGGTGCTATCATACACTACAGAGCAGAACCAGATAGTTGTAGTGTTGTGGATGACAAGAAACTCTTCCTATTGGATAGTGGTGGTCAGTATGTTGATGGAACAACTGATATAACGAGGACCGTACATTTTGGAGAACCTGCCTCGCGACAAAAAGAATGCTTTACTCGAGTTTTACAGGTACTAAGTACATTCCTTTGGTTTTCTGGGTAATAAACTCTTTTGAAATTTATTTACTTGAAGGCTGCATAAATTGGGTAAAGATATCTGAAGAGGGCAGGGCCAAAGGTCTCAATACTTTCTAAAGATTGGGTTTTTTTCTCTGGGGATATCAGGCAATTATGCAATGGTGTGCTTATTTGCATTGTTGATGTACTTTTAATTAACCGATACTTATTTGCATAACTAGAGTATTATAGTATTTATTGTACTCCAGATCCTCAACCAACACATACAGTTATGCAATTTACATAATTAATGCATTTTGATATTCTACTCCTTAGACTGACCAATTTTGTTTTTGAGATCCCTGGTTGTGTTTGACTTTTCTGATAGAGTTTGCAATGCAGGGTCATATAGCTCTTGATCAAGCAGTATTCCCTGAAAACACACCCGGTTTTGTCTTGGATGCATTTGCTCGTTCTTCCCTTTGGAAGATAGGACTGGATTACCGGCATGGTATTTTCCTTGAATTTCTATCAACTCATCATGAACTTTTGTCTTTGCTGAATTGATGATGAGCTCAGTGTATGTGTATTTTGTTCTCTAATGTGGTAGGAACTGGGCATGGTGTGGGAGCTGCGTTAAATGTTCATGAAGGACCTCAAGGTATTAGCTTTCGATTTGGAAATATGACT